TAGTATTGTATTTTGAGTTTTTGCTTTTTTTTTTTTTTTTTGTCTTTGTCTTTTCTGTTTGAGACAAGGTCTCATGCATCCCAGACTGGCCCCAGACTTTCTGTACAGCTCAGAATGATCTTCAGCTTCTGATCCTCCTTCCTCTACCTCCTAAATGCTAGGGTTGCAGGCACAGAGTGGGTCATCATGCCCAGTTTGTGTGGTGTTACTGCTTGAACTCAGGTTTCAGGCATGCTAAGAAAGCAAGCCACTGACTATAGTACATTCCCAGCTCTAAAACGGAGCTTACCAAAGGAGACTTTTCCAAGCAAATCATGGTTAGTATAGGTCCAGAAGCAATCCGACGCCTTGAATAAGTGCTATAATAAGTAAAATTCTGGAGGAGTGGCCCAGAAAGACATAATTTTATAAAAGGACCATGCATACTCTAATCCCCCTCAGTTTATATATTTGGGACCAAGCCTTCAGGAGAAATGACAGGAAAGGGGATCACACAGGAAGGGGGAGAAACCCAAGAGGTAAGCATAAATCATCTTGAGTATAAAATATAGAAATATGGCTTAGGGTATAGCATATCCTTGAGACCTTAGTTTGGGTCCTTGGCACCAAAAGTATGACTATAATCATTTAATTAAAAGTCAACATTTGATTGTATCAAAGTAATTATAATTATAGTTGTGAGAACTATTTAGCATATATAACTTTGTGGTGTGTACACAGTGGCTATAAAGCTCATCACTCAGCTCAACTGTTATGTTCTACTTGATCTCAATGCATACGTTGAACAAATTTAGATCTAGTGTGTTTTGGTATGTGGTTTTCTGCTAAAGATATTTGATTCATCCATTTATTTGATTTTCATACATGCATGATCTTTCAAAGGAGTGTTATGCATGCCCTCAAGGGAGAGCTGGGGCAAGGGCATGGATAAGGAGCAAATGTATAATCTAGGGTTCACACTGGGCATTTCAGAGAGGACAGCATAGTCTTGACCTGTGCGAAATCTTGTAGGCAAGACAATCATGCTGGTGGGGAGTCAGGTTGGAGATGACCCCAGAAGTGAGGAATACAGGGTGTTGGTGATGGCACAGCTTCAGTGCCCAGTGGAGGTTGAGACTGAGCTGAAGAATTCAAGAGCTCCTAAGTGTGGTATAAAGGAAGAAAAAGAAGAACGTCTGGGGGATGGGAAGTTGAGTTGTGGCCTCATTCTTAGGGTAGGTGACTGTCCCTTCCGATCTATTGCCAGCTCCTTGCTTGGGGAGAGGCCTATACTACCCTCCAAAGTTTAATTTTGAGATATGGAATGGAAAAGAGGGAGAAAGTAGAAGAAAGCCCATGAATTGCCCCTGAAGTCATAAACCTTTTCACATTCAAGATATTGTAACAAGCGGGAAAAGGACATTAAAAAAACACAACCAAATGGAAAATGAAGAAAAATTAAAGAAACAAAGTTACAATTATAAAATAATTAAATGTTTCAAGTGCAGAGTAGTAGACTATGAAGTATTTAATAATTCACTCACAAAAAAAAAATCTAGAGGAAGAGAAAGGTAGTTTAAAATAAACTCAGGGAAGGGAAAAATAAATGAAACAGAAAATTCTGGTTAAGAACCGGAAAGGAAAAATGAACCTGAGTTTCACTGAACTATTTTAACAAATACAGGTTGTTAAATTTATATACAGCTTTCCCGTTCTTGGGACTGAGAGCAGATAAAGTTGCTTTTGGAAACCGTATTCCAAGCTTCCAGAGCAAAGCCGTGTCCCCAGAGTGTCTGAAATCCAGTGAAAATTGCCTTTCAGTGCAGCCAGCAAATGTTTCTACCATTAAAAGCCCTAATCTTCTCGGAAAGAGAACGGGAAGGGGAGAAGAGAGGGTACAGTGAGAAGGTTGACAAGTCTTTTTAATAGTCCTGGGAGAGAAGAGAGGGGTGTAGGGAAGATCTGCTGTAGCCCTGCAGAAGATGGAGACAGCCCCGGTAGCCCAGCTGTGTCCACACAGCCCAGCATCTGAGGCGGTTTCTCTACCTGCCAGCTGTAAGGCCTGCTGGCTATGCTGCGCCCTCAGGTTGGGCTTCAACCACCATAGAAAGAGCTCTGAGCCTCTGACGCCTGCACCTGTCCATTCTACACATGGCCAGAGGAGGGCAGGGCTGCTGAGATCCCTGAACCCTTCTCCATTTATAAATAAAAAACCCAATGGGACATATGGCACTTCTTGTCACTGGTTCCTATCTTACGGTATCAACTGTAGCATGGAGGCAGGAAAGGCCCTGCTACAAAATGTTTGCTTAGTTTCTTTAGGGTCTCTGCAGACTTGATCTTTCCCCCAAACCCTAAAATACATAATCTGCAAATTAGGTTTCTAGCTTTCTAGAACAGTTGGTAATCACAAAAGTAATTCTTCCTAAAGAAGTTTATAGTCCAGCTCACCATTACCTCCACTTCAAGGCAACTAATTCCAATTTTTTTTTTTAATCACACAACCTTGGCACGGTGGCACATACCTGTAACCTTAACACTTAGAAGGTAGAGTCAGGAGGATCAGAAATTCAAGACCATCCTAAGCTATACACGAGTTCAAGCACTTGCTGGTCTACACAAAGCCCTCTCTCTTAAAAAAATTTCCAAACAACAATAGCAACAAAATGACTTCACAGAATTATGAGAATGAGTGTACTTGAGAAATAACCAAAGCCATATAAACTGTTCATTGATTCTGTTGTGCAAAGCGGTGAAAGATGTTTTCTTGCTCCCTTCAGCAATTCCTGAGGAGAAATTAAATTCTGTTCGTGTGTGTTATTCATAGTCCTTACGAGGGTGCCTTTCATAGCTCATAGTCTGCCTATGACGATGTCTTCTTCTGTATCTAAGTAGCTGGGTGGTCGCACGCACCTACATAGTTCCAGCTATCTGGGAGGCTGTGGCCTGAGGATGGCTTCAGTCCGGGAGTTTAGGGCCATGAGGTCCTACTATATTAACGCTCCTCTCACCCCCAAATCCATGCCATACGCATTGCGAAACAACCTTACAATTTCATTTGCAAAGGGAAATACTTTAAGATAAGAAAAAAATAAGAATACCAGCTCATTTTTCTTATGTGTCTGAGGGAGAGGCTGTGTCCGCTGGAGTGCTGCGTGTACTGAGGTCCGAGGTCTCTGGTGGCTGGGGTCACAGACTGTTGTGAGGGGGTCACAGCTCTCTTGTGGGGGCTGAGAACCAGCCTCATGCCCTGCTCACGGTCACTGCGCGCTCCTTGCCATCTCCCTAGCCCCTAGAACTTTTACTTGACTTTTACATTTTGTTTAACCTTTAAACCTGTTGTAAATCAATATCTTAAAGTTTTTTCCCTATTTATTATGTGTGTGAGAGCGATGGGGTATAACGCATGAGCCACTGCGTGTGTGTGGAGGGTTGAAGACAGTTCTGTGGGACCGGTTCTTCCGTTCACCTTCATGTGGGTTCCTGGATTCTGCTTCAGGCTACCAGGCGTGTGTCGTCAGCACCTTTACCCACTCAGCTACCTCTAGCCCCACATCTTTTGAACTTAGAAATCCACAGAATCATATATGACATTGTGCGGACACCTAGACACCCACGTCACGTCTTTATGTTTTTCCCAACCACTCATACACACACACACACACACACACTATCGATTTTCACTACTTAACAAACTTACCAACTGTTGTGTCTCTCTATCTTGAAATTCTTTTCTACAGTATAGTCGATGATATGCCTTTACTTTAGTGGGGGGTCCCTGGCAAGGTGTGGTGGGGCATGGGGGTGGAGGTGTCCCCTCATATCCCCTCAGTATTGTGGTGGCAGTGCGAGACTACTCTCCCTTCCACTGCTGGTACCCCCACTCCCACACACAGCCACATACCACACATGCTTACCATGCTTTGGCTATATTAACCAACTTACTCTCATTGTAGCATGAATGATAAAAAACCCAGAGACAGAAATTGGGATTCAACCCGAAAACCAGAAAAGCAAAGCAGTCAAGCCACTAGAGAAGTCTTAACCTCCACCAAGGCTGGGTGACTGTAGACTAAGCAGCTAAGCCTTTCTCTCTTCTAATTTTATATTCCCTTTAGTGCTGAGATGAAAGGTATGTGACTCCCTAGTACTGAGATTAAAGATGTGAGCCACCACCACCTGGATTTGTTTCTGCATTGATCTTGTGTAGTCCAGGGTGACCTTGAACTCACAGAGATCCACCTGATTCTGCCTGCCAAATCCTGAGATTAAAGGTGTGTGTGTCACCATTGCCTGACCTCTTGTGACTTTAGCTTTGCCTCTGGTCTTCAGGCAAGATATAATTACCAAAATACAAATAATATACCACTATATTTAATAACACCTATCATCTTTTTTTTTTCTATCAGATTAGGCAACTCCATGTATGCCTTTGGTGCAGCTCAGAGCACTCGTTCTGTGCAATGGGCACGGAGTTCCACCATCATGCCCTCGGGAAGGACTGCTGTCCCTTCTCTGGAATTTGCTGTCAATAGCTCTACCTCTCACAGAGCACTGCATCTTTGGAAAATTGAAAGCTGCACAGTTATCCCCCGTAGTGCTTGCCTGAGTTTTCAGTCCAAACACATATTTTAAATGATCCTTCTGTAAGATGTGTTTCCACAGCATATTCATAAGTATGCATGCATGTGTACATGTATATTTGATTGAGAGGGGCAATGCTACCAAACCCAGGGTCTTTGGAATGCTATGCCCACCCTCTACCAGTTCTGGGAACTGTAGTCCCAGTTCCCAGAAACTCACTTCAAAATTCTTCAGCCACTGCCGGTAAAATGAACACTCGAAGGCTTCTGAACTGTTAACCCAACTCAAGAGCAGAGTTTACACACAATCCTAGGAGAAGTGGGATGGAGATTTATCTGCCCTCAAGCCTCCTTATTTCTACACATAAATGGCAACACTGAACTTGAAGGGGGTCACATAAAGAGCACTCCCCATGAGTTCAGGGAGAACATGATTACCTCTTGGTCTCCAGCCTGCAGATCCAGCTCACTAGAATTCTCTTCCAGAAAACATTTCACCTTCTCCACCTCCTCCATGCACTGGAAAAAGGCCACTTTCTCCAGGGGGTTGCTGCTGTGGCAGGAGCTGATCTCCTCCAGCCTCTTCACCTTCAGCATGCTGCTGGTGAGTCTGAGCAGGCTGCCGTCAGGAGTGGGGCTTTCATCTCCGCCTGTCTCCGATTTGTAGAGCAGCACACAGTCGTGACTTTTCAGTACTCTTTTCTCTTGGCTATAAAGGAAGGAAACATGGAAAGCTCGGGTCACTTGTCCACTACCAACTTCTCAAATCAAGAACAACGTTGGTGTTCATGGCGGAACTTTGTCCGTTGCTGGAACTTTTAAAGGAAATTTTTTTTTATTTTTACATTTTCCCGTAAAATCAAATAGTAAGAAGCACCTGCCCAGGTGACTATGTACAGCACTCACTGCATTCATTAAACAAGACATACAGGGAGAGAAAGTAAGACGTTCACCCAAGTTAGGCTTATGCGGCATGCTTCAAGTGGGTTATTCAAAGAAACCACAGACCTTTGTACACACAGAATTGTTGGGAAAATCCTTTTGTAAAGGAAAGTTTATATCCATTTATATTAAAAAGTAGCAAATGAACATAGTGGTATTTCTGACATAGCACCCCTTTCTAGAATCCAGGAAAGATTCAATCCCCCACAGGAAGATGAGACAGAGGACCTGACACTTGCCCTGCAGAGATTCACCACAGGTGGCTGCCACCTGAAAGATTGCATTTGCATCCTTGATGTCTGGTCACTCCTCCTTCGACCTTTCAGGGGCTTCTCTCTTCCTTTCACCCCAGAAGTCCAAACTCCTGCCCCTCCAGGCTCTCAGCACAGCCTACTATGTCGGCCTGCTTTGAGTTTCACACTCCCATACTGTGAGCATGTGTTTCTTCCAGGCATCTATTCATTGTCAGGCTTTTTTCTTCACAGACTAAAATTAACCAAGCTGTGGGAGATGAGGGGCAAACTTTAAACTCCTCTGCTATATCAAATGACTGGTTAAAACACAGTTTGACAACTGGGGTATTTGACTGGTATTGCAAGTCTTGCTCCTCACAGTCCTGTAGGACAGGCTGGTCCAGGAAGAGGGCCTTTTTTCTCTTCCTCTGAAACTGGGCCTCCTTTTGGGGTGGTGTCCCCACCACAGCAATTATCTGCCTGCGCCCCTCTCTTTAAATTATTCAGTGCTGGGGATTAAACTCAATACCCCACACATGTTAGGCAAGCACCCCTACCTCTGAGCCCCACCCCAAGTCTGCCTACATCGTAAGACATTTCGTATTGATTGTGCAAAAAAAAAAAAATCAATTTCATATGAAGAACGTAGCCCATCACTTTCATTGCACCTTTCCTGACAGCTGAGCGCCGAGCTGTCTGAAATGCTCTCCATGCAAATTAGGTAATGCACACACTACAAAACAGCATTTAATTCTAGACACACAAATGCATCTGTATACTCGCATATTACTTGGCCACTCAGGGAAAGAATGATGAAGGAAGATGTGAATTTGTGCTTTCCGTGGCTAGTCCCCGAGGCCCCCTGCTGGAAATGCTCTGAAATTTGCTTCATTGTCTCTATAATTCACAGTCCTTTCTAATTCTGCCAATGAAACGTCACCATTCCTTTCTACAACTCATAGAGTAATATAATCTACTAGAGGTACAAAGTGCTTCCGATTCAATGCTCTGTAAAACCCTACATATTGCCTAAAGAACTTAGATTTGAAAAAGATCCAAATGCAAATAACATCAGCTAGAACTCTACACATACACTATAGACCATTATTACTAGTTGTAAACTTCTCTGAAAAAAAATACTAAAATAAGAAGACAGCTGCTTGTCTATTTAATGGTGAACTATTGATAAGGTATAATGTTGAGCTGCAGGTGTTACTGAAAGCCATAATAATTAACATATTAAAACAAGTCGGGGTTTAACCCATAATCATTCCATAAAGAATTACTAAGCATTGACTGCGCCTGAAGTTTGGAACAACTTGTTATCTATAGAGCCATAGAGAGAAAAGGGAGATTGGAGAGGTTGTAACAATAAGCAAAAGTGATTACCATCTGTAGGAGGACATCCTGGAGTTTGAACCACTCTGCTAGTAGAGTATTCAAATCGACTGCAGAACTCTCTGGTAAGAGACTTCCCTCTCCGTGGGCAGAAGTCGCCTGGAAAGACAAGTGTCTACCACCAGAGGAAGTGGCTTGTCTCAAATGCCACCGCGAGCCCCTGTTTAAACTAATAGGCTCCTTGATCTCAGGTTGCTCAGCTGTTGCTTCCTCAGTCAGACGGGGAAGAATATTAATTTTAGATGCCAGGCCTTTCAAAGCCGATGGCTCCATTTCAAAGGTCAGGTAGGGAGAGGATGAACTGAGAGCGCTGGATGAAATATCACCTTAGTGCCCTCGTAATTGCAGGGCTGGATTTGTGCTTGGTGGTCTCATCCTCCTCTCCGACCTGATTTCAGCTACCAGGATGCCAGGTATGGGAGCCCCCAGTGACATGCACATTTGTTTTGATGATTCTGCAGAGATGCAGATGTAGCGTGGAGCCTTCTGGATGCATTTTAGAAAGCATTGTTTAATTTACTCAATCCTTTGAACTTCAAGGGTCTCCAACTCTCCCTAGTTTAGGGGGAAGGTCAAAGGCACACATATCCAGGTAGGAACAAAGAAGAGAAGTGGTCTGCTATTCCTAAATTTATTTACTTGGTAAATAAAACTTAGGTTGCCAACAAACTAAAACAGACACTATAGACAGCTCTCTAATTCTTCCTGACCCAGACAGTTGTCACCCCTTGTCCAGCCTTTGCTATGCCTCTGTGCTCTGTTGCCACTGCAGCCTCCTGCACCCTCGCTTCTTTTTCTTTTTCTTTTTTTCCTCTTTTAAAATTTAGATCAATGTTTTCCAGTCAAGACAAAAATTGGTGTTTCCCATTATAAGAGGCATTTGAAGGATTCTAGCAGAATTTTATTTGAGAAGCAGAACTTTTCTATTTTTCTAGGATCCCAAAAACATAGTTCTTCAGGAAAAAAAAAGATACATTATTCAATAAAGTATTCTTAAAATGCTGAACTGATTTCAGGTTACCAACTTTTGTAGGTGTGATTGGACTGCTGACAAAGGCAAATCCTTCTCAGATAAGGAAGATGTATGTAGCCACATCCTCCAGTTAAGCCATAAAAATGAAGTCAGAATATCTATTTCCTTGGCTTCTAGCCATAAAGCATTAGAGAACCAGGGCCAGCAGATACACTACTATTAGCAAAATCCAAAAGTTAATTTTCTTCCTTTGTCCCCTAAAATGTTTTTTTTTTTGAGGGGGGGAGGTCTAGACTCTCACACATACTTCCGTATTTCATTTGGAGTCAACAGGATTTATGATGGATTAGACACAGGGTATAAGGAAAGACAGTAGATGGGATGATTTACAGATTTCGTCTGTGCACTCAAAGGACAAAGGTGATGTGAAATGAGATGGCCCTGGGAAGTGCAAATGTGGGGGGTCTGGAGCTCAGTTTTTGACAAGTTCATTAAACATTCAAGCTCAAGTCATAGAAATAGAGATCTATGGAAAGAATGTAGCTAACGATGCAAATTTGTACAGCCATCTACATGTGTATATTACCATATATAACGTGAACTTAATAAGTATTTTGTAGCAAGCTACCTTTTGGGCCACCAGCTGGCTCCCAAATCGTGACACAGAGACTTATTATTAGTTTCGAATGCTTTGTTTTATCTCTGATTTTAATCTGTTTCTCTTTATTTATGTTATGCCCCACTTTCCTGCTTCTTGTGTCTGGTTGATTGTCAGCTGTCTGGCTTCTGGCTTCTGGGCATGTCTCTCTTTTCCTCCCTCCTTCTCCTACCTGCCAGCCCTGCCTATCCCTCTCCTGCCTAGCTATTGGCTGTTCAGCTTTTTAGTAGAACAATCAGTTGCCTTAGGCAGGCAAAGTGAAATGCATTTGATACATCTTTACATAGTTAAAGTAATTTCTGCAGCAGTATTGACTACTTAATCACTAGAGAGAATGATTTTGATTGTATCTACATGTCCTAAATACTTTTTTAGTTAAATGAAAGAATTCATGTTGTCCGTCTTATAAACTTTGGTGACAATGTTCACTGTAAGTTCAGATAAGTCATGCTGTTCAAGCTTGATGACTTGGAGGACAAGCCACATGGTACAATAGTTGACCACAAAAGTCTAGGTGTTACGTGCATCCTCATGGGCCTTTATCAAGCCTCAGAACCTGAAGTCCATAACCACTACATACTCCGAACTCTTAACCTAAAAAGACTTCAGTATTTCCTTGACATTTTGGACTTACATGACTTTTAAAAAATAAAAACAGAAGCAAAACAGCCTTTCACAGAGCCAAGAAATCCTTGGCTTTAAAAACTGAGAACTCAGCACTAAATAGAATCTCTTTATCCACACCACCACCTTCCCCCTCTATGTCACTGCCAAGTGCCAGGGAACATCACTAAAGAGGAGGCATCGTAAGAGCTGGAGGACACAGGGGAGTGCTGTGATGTGCTGTCTTCTGGATATCACACGGCTTCACACTTATGAATTCACTGCAGCTGCCGTTACCTGCACAAGACCGACACATGAGCAAACCAGCTAAAAGGATTCCCTGTGCCTCATGCCTTGCTAGGAGGTGATGGCTGCTGGGGGAGGGAAAACCATTCTTTTTAGGGGGAAAGGAAGTTTGAGGGGGACATGGAAGAATATGGAAATATATGAAATTCTCAAGAATGAAGAAGGACAGAATTTCTTGAGTTTTGTTTTTTTGTTTTTGTTTTTGTTTTTGTTTTTTTTTTTTTGGCAACATTTGCACTAACTACCTAAGGAAGAGATTGAAATCTGAAGAGCCACATGAACTGGCATCACTGACAGTTCACCTTATGCTTGGCTTTTAAAGCAGACCAGGAAATGCCGATTGTTTCTGTTTATACACAGCTTTCCGAGTGTCTCCAGAACAGCAAGGCTTCTACACACAAAAGTGGAGCAATTGTCGTGGATATTAAGATGCAGATGATGAAAGCTGCTTCGTTCCAATTGCCTGCCTAGCAATTACTTTTACACCTTTCATAAAGCACTAGAGAATATGACCCTAAAAGCAGAAATTGAAGCCAGGAGGTGGTGGCACACGCCTTTAATCCCAGCACTCGGGAGGCAGAGGAAGGCGGATCTCTGTGAGTTTGAGACCAACCTGGTCTACAAGAGCTAGTTCCAGGACGTGCTCCAAACTTACAGAGAAACCCTATCTCATAAAAAAGAAAGAAGAAAAGAAAGGAAGGAAGGAAGGAAGGAAGGAAGGAAGGAAGAAAGAAAGGAAGGAAGGAAGAAAGAAAGGTTTTCCCTCTGTATCCCTAGCCATCCTTATAGACCAGGCTGGTTTTGAACTCAGAAATCGACCTGCCCCTGCCTCCTGAGTGCTGTGATTAAAGACATGTGTCACCATGCCACGCTGNAAAAAAAAAAAAAAAAAAAAAAAAAAAAAAAAAAAAAAAAAGGACAGATTTGCTAAAGCTAAAGGGCTTTTATCTAGAACATACAACAGATTGTTACAACTCACTAATAGGATGACATACATCCCAATTTTTAAAGTGGACAAAGGAGTTGAAAAGGCAGGCAGAAAATAAATATAGGAACATCAAGAATCAGTTATCAGGAAAATGAAAATTCAAATTACAAAAAAATAACATTGCATCCACTAGGAAAGTGTTAATTTTAAAGAGATGGAGAAACAAACATAGCTAGGATGGGGAGAAAGGGAAGCTCTCATCAGACAGAAGATAGGAATGGAAAACGGCCCAGATGCTTTTGAAAGTGGAATATCAGTTTAAGCTGCTTCCCGTAAGTCTAGTACTACTGGTTACATAGGGAAGAGCAATGAAAACACAAGAACATGCAACCCTTGCACATAAACGCTGTAAGGTGAAGTGCACACAATAGCCACAATTAGAAACAAACCAAAGATTTGGTGAGGGGAGACTACAAAGTGGTATGTCCATGCAAATGGAATACTAGTCGGAAGCAAAATATGCATGCTTGCTATAACACGAATGGACTAAAACATGGTGCTAAATGAAAAGAGTCAGAGACAAAGGCCACATACTAAGGGATCATGTTTATATATATATATATGGTTACACACACACACACACACACACACACACACACACAAAACCAGTCTGCAGGATTTAGCTGTAAATAGGATTTCACTGGATGGTGCTTGATAGTAATGATTACACAACTTACCCAATGTTTTAAAACACTGTTGAAACTGTTTATGTGAATTCTATGATCTGCAAACTCTAATTTTGCTAAGAAAACTCAGCTTTAATGTGATTCATAAAGTAATCTTGTGAAAAGAAGTGGGGGTGGGGTGGGGAGAAGTGCTACTGGGCAGCTTGGAGCTGATGGTTCCAAGTGACCAAGGCTGGGATCCAGGGAGACATAAATTAAACCCTCAGTACTGGGTCACCTGGGGCTGAAGAAAGGAAAAGGATGCGTGGGAGAGAGTTAGAGTCTCATAGTTTTCCTCTAGTACAAAATGCCATGTAATATGAGATTTTGTGATTAATAAAAAATGAGTGCTATATGAAGTTAGCTTCTGCCACTTATTATCTCCCCGGAGATAGGATACTTTCAGCCAAGAGGGTAATGATGTTACCAAATGTCCAGACTTGTTTACAGTCCACTTGATATTAGACCTTTATATTTTCCAAGTGACAGTGAGTAAGTAGCTAAATATTTTGTAACAAAAACCAAGGAGTCTGAAACTCCCAGGCAGGCTGTGGGCATGGTTCAGCAGTAGAGTTCTTGCCAGCATATATAACACCCTGCCACAGAAACAAAGAAACAAACTCATGTTTCTTAGGTATGTAATAAATTATCTGTGCTCCTTTTTCTTTTTAAAATGTGAAAGCAAAAGAGCTTTTGCAGAACTACATAAAAACATCAATGGGATCATATAAATTTAATTTATTTTAAACAGATTAAAAACTGTTCTAGTGAATTGTTCCTATAGAGGTTGGGTTAGTTGTTCTTTTAATTATGTG